TACAATGATTACGTTCACATTGTAACGAGTTCTCTGTTCGACCATTCGAAAACTATTAGATCGCATAATATTAATAAACGAACAGATATTTTTATTTTATTTCATATAGCAGAAAAGCGCGATATTTTTATCCATTAATTCTGGTAACGAAAAAAGTCAAACGTAGGTAAGCATCAGGCATTGAAATGAGACATTTTTCAGAATTTTCAACCAATATACTCTTTAGAAACGGATCGATTCGGGCAATAGTGAGTCATAAATATCGATTTATTATCTTAAAATGTGTTTTGATTCACAATGTTTCATTTAAAAAATAGGATGAAAACAGTTGTTGTCTAGATTATTCTATATTGACGCATTATTGCACCTACAGTGAAATGAGAGTTAGAAAAGTGGCACTGACGAGGAATGATGGCTGCTCATAATTTCTTGTTGGTTTAATACGACCAATAAAATTTCTTATTTCTGTTCTATTTTACAGAATATGAGTCATCTAAAAATAAAAATAAAGCACAATTTGACAGTATACAATACTACACAAAGAGAGCAATAAAAACGAGAACCAGCCAATCTCTCAGTGGTAGCAATCTCGCTGGACTCAATTCATTCAGCATTTTTTTACCTATAAATTAGGGACTTTTCGCACTTTGAACAAAGCACGGTAGCTTACATTACAGAACAACAAAATGTTTATGTAACGCACATTCTTTTATTGAATAGCTTTACACTTTCTGCAATTTGCCTTATTTTATAGCCAAGGACATTGTTAAGTGAGCGCTTAACTAAGGTATGGGAAAAAATAAGTATTTTTAATGACATTTTTGCTGCACGGTATATCCACATTATTTTTCTCATAGATTAAAGAAGACGAATGCCGTAATACATAGAGAAGAACGTAGTTCTTGTTTAACAAAAAAATGTATTGTAGATTTCTTTTAATATTTATTCATCTGCGTTTAATGGGTTTTGAAAATACCATAACAACAAAACGACTCAATTTGTGGTACACTAATTTGCCAAAGCCGCTTTAGTTCTGAGAAAAGTGCTATATTCTTTTCGAAATAAAGTGCCTTTTTCCCGTGTTAATTTGTTTTTACTATTTGCTCATCCATGCGTCCATAATTCTGTTATGGTAATTCTTTTATTCTACTCTTCTGTATGCGTTTGGGCACAACCAAGAGAAAAGTCTGTGGCTAAATTGGTTAGAATAGCTTGTTGTATACGACAGATATTGAACAACATCTGGAGTAATGTTCACTATTCTCGTTGGGTGTCACTGTTGAATTGTGTCGACTTTAATATACATCAGCCAATGAAATTAATTGTTTAGATCTATTTGAACTTTTTTTATTTTTGGTTTAGCGGAATCATCAGCATAAACTGTGGACAGTACTGGTCCTTACCTTTTGTGGATGTTTGAACGACCTTGACGTGTCGATTCGTAATCATCCAGCATATCTATGATGTGATCACTCATCACGTCAAAAAGCGTCTCTAATCTCAGTGCAAGAAATGTTGGAACTCTTTTCTTAGAATTTTGTAGTCAGGAATTGACACGAAAAACCGTTCAAAATCTTGACCATTAACCAAACTCATGTTTTTAAGGGTTATCAGTTTAACTTCACTTTTTCGCTTTCCATTCTATAAGGAATTGTTTCATTTTCTATTTGCAGATGAACAATCAGTTAGATCACTATATGAGTTTATGGATAAATACACTTTTGCCTACTAATCTAAAAAAATTCTTTTTCGTTGAAGTTAGATAATTTAAATGTGATAAGTAACGATTTCTATTTTGTTTTCTGCAAAAAACTAAAGTGTAAATCTAAATTTTAAAGTTTAGTGTAAACACCTTTTTTTCTCAGAATGTAAATTCTGTTTTGATAATGTACGTAAAAGTTTACCTGAATGTTACTTTGAGACTTCCAAAAGAATATGAATTGTCATTTTTATCACAAAATGATTGATGTGTTTATTATTTCAGATTGTTTTCCTTTATTGTTTGTAAAAAAAAAATGATCGATACACTTGTGAACAATGATGTTGACAAAGATGTATTAATTCGTGTGACAAATAAACTACGAAGAGTTGTCGAAGATTATTTTTCACAAGTAGTACCTCTTTTCTATAAATATATATTTTTTTGCTATATATGTTTCTCGTTTCTGTAGTGTCAATTTGAATCAGCTGTCTATTGGGGTGATAAACTTCTTTCATTAAGTAGAAGTAAGTTTAGAGAAATGCTAACAAATTTTTATGTAGTATGTTGTTTCTTTTGTCTGTTTAGACAATGTAGATGATTTATTATTAGTTGCCAAATGTTTGATGTCAAAAGGTGATCATCATCGTACAAAAATTTTATTAGAAAATTCTCCAATGTTTGATGTACGTATCTCTGTTTCCATATGCATTCATGTTGATACAAGAACAGATGAAAAAGATGTGTTTGTTTATTTTATGCACTCATTCGTTGTTTCATAACTCAACTTCATTGAATTTTGAGTAAAAACAAAATATTTTAATTTAATTTAATGTTTTTCTCCAACAGACTGATTATGCTGGTATTTACCATTCTATACTACACATGGTGCTTCAGTACACAGTATCTTGTTCATCACAGTTTGTGGGAACAAAAATTAAAAAAGAAAATGAGAACATGTTTTTTTACTTAAAATTCAATGAAGTTAAGTTGTGAAACAACGAATGAGTGCATAAAATAAATAAACACATCTTTTTCATCTGTTTTTATATCGTATCTCATAGAGTATAACATCAACTAATTCTTATCTAATTTTTTTAGACAAATTTACAATTTAAATATCTTGTTGCTATGTGTAATGTAAGCATTTTATTTTTCTTAATAAGAAACTGTTCATAGAACATGTCTCATCTGACATATTCTAGTATAAAATTAAAGATTATCAAGCTGCAGCCAGTGTATTAGATCAATTAGGCGAACAATTTGATAGTGACGATAAACGTCAACCACAACAACAACAACAACAACAGCAAACAAAAACGCCAATGATAACAAAATCAACTATAATAACAAATGAAATAGGCGATAGCGTAAGTATTTATAACGAATATCATTCTTTTCAACTACAACATATTTTCTATTATTTTAGCTTAAAGCATCAATCTATTTGTTACGTGGTAAAGTAGCCGAAGCATTTGGTTCAATACCACAAGCAATGAAATTTTATGAAAAAGCGTTAAAAGCAGATGTATTCTGTTCAGAAGCCTATGATAAATTAATAAGAAAACACATGTTAACACCAGAAGAAGGTAAGTGAGAAGAGCTAGTTTTTTTTATAAGAAAAATTGTTAAAACTACACGAAGAAACAATTATTATAGTAATATAAATAGTTGGTATTAAAAATAAACATTGTTTTATTTAGAACAACGTTTACTTGAACGTTTACCAATTGAAAAACAATGTGATCCGGATACGGCTTCTCTCGTAGCCTGTTTATATGAACAACAAGTGCATCAGGTTTAAAAGCAGATAAACAATGTGTGTTGCCATAATTTATAGTTTCAAATATTTGTTTTGTTTTAGTACATGAAACCAATCATTGTTAATTTACCACAATTTTCTGTTAGTTTATTAAATGATAATCCCGATTATTGCACACAAATAGCTGAAAAACAATATTATAATTATAAATTTCGTGATGCACTTGATTTATGTAAGAAGTATGTTTCACGCAGGACAGATTTAGAGATGCAATAATCAACAGGACTAGTTCGATGTAATGATATATCACTATGGTGTAAGACTGGATTTTGTTTTATTTAGAGTATTAAATCATGATCCTTATCATCAGGATAGTTTATTTATCTATATTTCATTATTGTACGAAATGAAAGATAAAACAGGTAGATTTTGCTGTAAGTTTATCCTAATTGAAAAATCAATATGATTTTTGTGTTTAGAATTATTTAGTCTTGGTCATCGTTTAGCCCGACAATGTCCAGAAAATCCAGTGAATATGATTATAATATGATGGACATTGGGTTGTACATAGATATTTTTATTTAGATTAGTTGGTTAGCAGTTGGTTGTTATTATTTGGTTACTAAAAAGCCGGAACCCACGAGACGTTATTTAGCGTACGTCTATTTGTCGCTGTTTTCAAATCAGAAATTATCATTTTATTTTTCCACCATAATAGAAAAGCAACAACATTACGTCGAAGTTTTGGTCCGGCATGGTTAGCTCTGGGTCATTCTTATGGTTTAGAATCAGAGCATGATCATGCCATATCAGCCTATTTTACAGCTGCTGATGTTATGCGTGGGTAAAGTGAAAAAGAGATCTATCTTGTATATTTTTGTCAATTTATCCTTTTTAAATTTTTTAGATGTCATTTACCGATATTGTATGTTGGATTAGAGTATAGTTTAACAAATAATTTACGTCTAGCCGAACGTTTATATAATGAATCGTTAAAATTTTATCCAGAAGATCCGGCTGTATTACATGAATTAGGTGTAATTAATTATCTTGCTAGAGAGTAAGTACAAGTGAAACTAATATTGCAAGATTTCTGAATTAGCTTGTATTCTTCTAAAATTAAGAGAGAATTATTAATTTCATTTTTCGTACACAAAGTATGTTTCTTTAGATATGCTCAAGCGTTGACATTCTTTGAACGCGCATTAGCCAAAGTTGAAGCTATTGATCAAGTTGATTTATTACCATTCTGGGAGCCATTATTTAATAACATGGGTCATGTATGTCGAAAATTGAAGTAAGAATCACTTGTTATCATCGTTTAACAACTTATGCAAGTTTTGTTCTTTTAAAGAAAATATGATGAGTCAATATCGTATTTTAAAAAGTGTCTTGGTTTAACGCCACGAAATCCACATACATTGATAGCAATCGGGTTTGTTCATGCGTTGCAAGGAAACTATGGTGAAGCGATACAATATTTACATCAAGTAAGAATATTTCTGTCTGTTATAAACTAATAATGTCATCTATGTATTTTATTTTGTAGGGATTATGGCTAAGTCCAGCGAGTTCATTTGCACAAACGTTATTGAACAAATGTTTCATGATGACACAAAGCAAAACTTATGTTGAACACTTTCCTGGTAAGCTAAAGTTTTTAACTCAATAATGAAGTACACTACACTATTTTTATTATTCTCGTATAATCTTTAGATCCACCAAGTGATTTGAATGAATATTATGGAAAAGAATCATCTGGTGTAGATAAAGAACGTCCACGTGCAATGGTTACTTCGTGAACTTTGTCTCTTTTTTTTTATACCTGTAAAGTCTTCAAGATGTTTTTTTCGTATTATGTGACTCTTATTTTTTAAAAAAATGTAAGAATAATATTGTAGGAAAAGTAATTTCATACTTTTAGTACTGAAAGTGTTTACCTCTAGTAAGATGACATGCATCAAAATGTTCATTAGTTCTGCTAATTGTTATTAACCGCTTCTCTCTAAAAAATATTCGTACTTTAGAAAACAAAAAGATATTTGCATTTGTAACTAATAGAAACATTTTTTCGTTTTTGCGAATGCAAATACCGTCAAAAGTACACAAAACGAAAAAATGTTTCTATTAGTTACAAATGCAAATATCTTTTTGTTTCTAAAGTACGAATATTTTTTTGAGAGTTCATGTCATTAACAGCGAATTGGTGAATTTTTCTCGAGGTTAAATGGCTAGGTGTATATCTTTCATACTAGTTCTTTGTTGCATCGCGACTTAATATTCCTAATGTAACCGTTCTGAATGTGACGTTATAAGCCTATAAATGACTTCAGAAGAGGTTTTCGCCTTATTAAATAGTAATACTAAAGTACCATTACCGATTGAGAATTTCATTCTTTAACGGCATAACGCTCATCACAAGCTGAATCGGTCAGCTCTTGACTTATTATGTACTGGTACCATCAATCTGGCAAATTCAATCTGATGATAGTGTTTCATAAGTACGTGTTTCACAACCGTACAACGGCCTAGACACTAAAACAACAAGATGTGTAAGACTTTGCCAATAATTTCTAAATTCCTTAACATCAATTGATCCGATGGTAACAACTTAGTAGTTAAATCTGCAAATTAGAATAACTAATCTGATACAAAAACGCCATCACCACAGGGGCGATATACCCACAACATCAACAGGCATGAAAAAGAATACCAGCGTTCAAAACCAATTGCAGCAACGGGCCATGGGATACGACAGAGAGGAAATATTGATCATTTTTCTGTCCAAAATAACTTATTTAGTTTATCAATATCAGCCATGATTACCGTTATATTTTCGATTTGTCTCTATGTCATGTCTCATATCTCCATTATAGAATACATGCTTTTTACCGGCAGGATATCTAATTAATATAGTGAACTTCGAAGCTTTCAAACTATCCTATTCGAATAACGTTTTTATATCGCGTTTAAAAGAAAAATTAATCAAATTTTAGCATTAAAATGTTCTCGTCTTAGAACGTGAGAGGGTAACATTTTTTGTGTTTTGAGTTTCTTCTGATAAAACGAACTTTTACGTAGTAATTGAATATGTAAAACTCTTAACATACACTAAGAACTTTCAATACAAAAACAACATCGTTTACCAGACAATCGGCATTAGGTGAGCTATCCTAATGGTGATGCAACTATAGTAAGAAACTCCTGAGTTACTCGCTATATTGACTAATAAAGTTGATCTATTATCAACCCATTTGATTTTAGCATTTTTTAACAACAGCAATGGTAGCAGCAATCGATTGCATCGATGCTAAGAAACCTGCCAATTTGTTTTGTACGTGTATAATTTATTAGTCCAGTTGATTCCCTCTATTATATTATATTGTAGCTCGCTACATAATTCAGTTTTTTGTTGTCAAGCTTTTCTTGTCATAGACGGTCTCCAATTAGCAAATAACAAAAACAGCAAGCAGATTTCTTTCAAACTGCAGACGATCGTAAAATTTGACTTTGTTAATGATGCCGATACAAACTGAGATGTCTTTAAGTCTGCTATTTGAACTATTTTTCCAATAATACTCTTCCAAAGAGAAAATACAAATACCCGAACTAACGAAGGTGATGTACTATCCCGTAGTCTGTGACAGAGCCTGCCATATTTCTCTCTTTCTAAAGATACTAGGTGCTTTATGACATGAAGAAATACGGAATGAAATATTGAACGCAAATTGTCATCACATTTATTCACAAATAACAATAAGAACAGCCAAAACACATTAACAAAACATTTTGACGTTAAACGTCGTCGTTTATAATAAAAACAAAACAAAACAAATGGAATGAATACTGAGCGAAAAATTTCATTTTTTGTGATTGTTATTATGAAAGCATATGTCAGCATAGACACCGGGTAAATAACAACGAAAGAATGCTTAAAACGTTTTTTAGAATTGAGACTAAAGAGAAAGCTGAGAGACACATACTAAATACATCAAACATCTATATATTATTCAAATGATTTTCTTTCAATTTTTCCCATCTATCAATGCCTAAGGCTTTTGCAAAATGATCATCGACACATGATTCACTTAAATAACCGTGATTATTATTGGCTTTTGATGACGATGCTGATGACGTAGGAGTACGCACATTTGAATGATTTTGTGAAGATAATGGCCAGAACTTTCCGAGTGAACGAGCAAAATGTTCTTCAATTGAATCAACTAAAAGAATAAAGGTTAATGTTGTCGTTGCATTGAATTATCCTACAACTTCTTTTAAGCAAAGTTTTTTTCTCTATTCTTTCGACCATCGTTCACGAAATACTGGTCAAAACAAGGCTTCTACTGATTCAAAAATTTCTCATTGGAAACAAAAGTTCAAAAGCTCAACTATGAGAGAGTGACGTAACAAAGCTAGGTTTCTATATTTTATTTGATCGAGCTATGGTGAGTATTTTATTCAAAAAATCTAAAAAAAAACGTTTCATTTTTTTAGAAAAGCTTAGTTTTTTAAAGAAGCAAAAGTCTACGCGATTAATCGGACTCTGTTGTCTGTGCATCTTGACTCTAATTCAAAAAACCATTAATACCACTTTTATGACGTTTCGTGATGGAGAAATCTTCTAAAACGTTGCTAACAGAAAGATCAAAGATGACATTAGTATACCGTATACATTTTAGTGCATCTACTAATAAAGCCTATTGACTGTTTATCTAAACGTCATCAAAAGCTGTTCGACGTCTTATTTTGAACAAAATAGTGTACTCTATATCATTCCCTCAAATTCATCGACGTCAGCGGATTTTTAAAAACTGATTAAAAGAAGTGATATTTCATACGAGGAGGATTCTTAGAAGACTATAACAGTCTTAAAATATTACCTGATGTCGATTCTGCTGGTGAATTATTTGATTCTGAATCTGAATAGCTTGACAGTGGTTCTGACGAGACTGATGTCGGTGGTGTAATAAATCCATTAGCAAATTTTTCATAATTATCACCTAAACTTTTACGAAAATGTTCTTCAATTGTATAATCGGTTCTGATAAGATTGTCTAAAAGAAATAAGTTAAATACGATATATATAGAACAACATTATTCAATAGTATACCATCATAGTTTGTGTGACGATCTTTTAATGCATTTTCAGTATATAGCCGATAGGCTTCAAGAAATTGCTGTGCTAATAAATAATCAACGGAGGTTGATAATGGTAAAAATGGAAATGCGGCAGCAGCAGCAGCAGCAAGTGGATAATGTTGACGAAAAAGTGTATTCATTTGTTCAATATGAGTTGGTACGGATGGTAATTTTAATCGTAATGAGTCATGAACAGACTCGTCATTGTTACTATTATAATGACTAGAAATTAAAATCTTAGAATATTAAACTAGTCCCCTGTATAGAACTGTATAGAAAACTTACTTTTTTGTTGCTGATGGCTGTGATCTGTTATAGTCATTCTCATTATTTGAATAATTATCATATAATAATTTATTATCCAAATCGTTTGATGATGTATGCGATGAATCAACAATAAATGGACGGCGTTTTTTTATTGGTATATTACAACTCGAATTTTTTCTCGATTGTATTAATGATGATGAGGTTGTTGTGGTTTCATTCAATGATGATATTTTATGTTCATTGTTTTCAAATGAACAATAACTAGCATCCGAGAAAGATGAAGATGGACCACTGTTATCAATTTTATTCATGATCTAGAAGAAAAATATGACTATATAGGGACAAAATATTCGTGGCTTGCAATTTGCCTTCATTCATATTTATAATTTCACCAATAGTGTGTAAAGAGCATGCAATTAACCGAAAAAAATTTAATAGACATTTATTCTAGATTCTATGTTTGACCAATATGATATACAATTGACTCAGCATTTCTCTTAGAAGCAGAACAGTAAAAGTTTCTTTAACAGGATCAACTCTATCAGTGGATAACAAGATTTTTTAGTATAGTAGGAATCACTATTTATAACTTTAAACGAACTAAATGGAATGTCAAAAAAATTACCAAAGAAAAATTTATGTACGTCTAAAGGCATTTGTTAGTTTTAAAAGCAAAGATATAGCTAAAATTTTCTCTTATACATACGCTCTTTCTCGCTAACTGAACTCTCTTTTTCTGTGTATGATTGTTCTATTCAATACATAAAAAGTATCCGTGTTTTTTCCTATTTCAAAGAAACATTAAGAAAGAATTAAACCATTACGCGTTCAACTCATCCAAAGTATATGCATATTAGAGTATGGAATGTTCAAATATCTAACGTTCGTTTTCCTTTTAGTTGAACAATTTTTTTTCTCTTCTTCTTCCATGATGTTCATCTAGCATCAAACGTATATAATGGTACAATATTTCAATTTTGAGTGACGGAATGAATCTATCTACATAACATATATCTTTCTCTCTCTACGTGAAATACAACCTGAAACAGATGAAAATTTTTTTGTCACTTCTTTTTGTTTCTGTTGTTTATGCGATGCGACCTTCTTTTAAAGGCATACCTCAAATGTTTTTCATATTTTACATTTTATCTTTCTCACAAGTGAATAAAACGATTCTTTTCTCTCTCTACGTTCTTTCATTATGGGTACAGAAAAATTTCAAGTTGAAATACACATATACTCATTATTCACACTATATATAGTATGTAGAAAAAATTGTGAGCAAAAACTGTGTTTGTCCTTGGTTCAAAATCTTGCCCATCAAATCTATATATTTCTCTTATAGTTTATTTCTCGAGGCTGATATGTAAGTTTCCAGTCTGAAGGGAATCCATTTTGTAAAATAGTCTGAAGCAACAGACGCTTTTCAACGAGATATTCTACAACTTGTGTTTTTGTTTTCTGATCTTTTATATTCTGAGAATCTAAAGCAAAAATTACCCAACTAAGTTATATGTTTGAAAGTAATTTATTATTACTTCACTCGGCGCACATTTGTCGATTAATGGTCAAAAGAACAACAAAATGCTTCAACGAGTGTTCTAACTCCACCTTAGAAAAAAATACGGCTGCAAAACAGCTAACATTTTAGCACGATCATGAGAGTCAGAACAAATATCAGAATCAATGAAGCCAAATAAATAATAAAATAGTAGGGGACAAATTTAGAGAAATGTAAGACAGACTTTTTTCGTTACATAGAAAAACAAAACAAATTATTTGTCGTACAATGCCATTGAGAAAATTGAAATAAAAGCGTAGTAAAAGAAGTGAAAAGCCCGTTGAAAATGGTTAGAAGAAAAAGCCCTTGGGCTGGGAGACACTTGATGAAACAGATGTTTGAGAGGGATAAATCTCGAAATGTGGGACTGTACTTATGAGAGGATATTAGACAAGCCTCAGAACGATATCAGCCATTTATTTGAGTTCAAACTTCAATCGTCGCACAAAAGAAAACTCACACACATCTGCATTTCTCAACCTTAAAAAAAGTGACCCCGTCTTCTTCCGCTTCGATGAAGATCTTCGTCAAAGTAATGTCAGATTGGCTATAAATGTGTTTTATAGAGCTACTGGCAAATAATCAACAATCAAGTAATTAACTTGTCTTACTTTTTTTTATCACGCGTGAAATTTTTTTAATAAATTCAACGTTCTCCTTGACATATGTCGAAAAAAATAACCACCACACCGCACTTCACAAAATTGAAAAAAACCCTACAGAAAAAAAGAGGAACTTTTTTCTTATTGCCATCATACGCGTAGCTACTGTGTTTTTGTTAAAAAAATTTTTTTCTTCTTTTTTTTTGTGTGTACCGTAGTACATCATCAGAAAGATCCATACACACAATGTGACGTCATCCATTTTTCTCTCGTTTGTATAAGCAGCAATATGAAGGGAAAGAAAAACAAAACACACACACGCATTCTGGAAAACGGTGATTTTGTGGTTTCTTTACTTATCAATGCGTTTTTTATTTATAACTATAGAATATACTACTTCCACTAGAAATCATTTCTGACGAGGGAAGAATCCAAGTCACAAATTGTTTTTTCGGTGAAATTAGGTGGACTATATGTAATTGATGACATTGATTCCGAATATGAATATTGGAGCTGCCTTTAGGCTTTTATTGACTGGGTTTCTAAAAACTGGATCTTCAGAAAACCGAGAACAAAATCCAGAAATTTTTTCTGAATCAGCCATTTTTGTAGAAGATACAAAATTATCAATGTTCCATAAGTTTTAGTTTGTTAAAAAAAAATCAACTGCGTAGGAAAATTTCCAAAAAGAGCGATTACGCTGGTTTTCATCGAAAAATGTTGCAGTAGGATACTTTGCAAAAATCATAGCATCGTTCAATAATATTTTGAAAAACTAAAACTTATGTAACATAGATAGTTTTGTGTCTACTATTAAATGGCTGGTTCAGAAAAAATTTCAAGATTTTGTCTCTCGTTTTCTGAGAATGCAATTTTTAGAAAACCGGTCAACGAAAGTCATAGGACAACTCCGATATTCTTATTTGGAATTAATGTCATCAATTACATATAGGCTATCTAGTTTCATCGAAAAAACGATTCGCAACTTGGGATCCTTCTGTTGTGAGTGAAATTTAATTAATTTCAGTCAAGTAGTTTTGTAAAGTAATATTTCTACTTTTAAATATGATGGACAATATGATTTTTTGTGCGATAAAATCGCATATGTTTTCTTCATTTTTAAAAATTTTCAAATCATTTACTCAATATATCCACCTTTTTAGATAGTCTTTCAATCTATGTACGTATGTTAACTTGAACTTTATCTCTTAACTATTTTGGTATGAACTTTCTCTGCACACTTCTTTCGATTCAGCGTAGTCTTGTATACTTATCCATGCATTTTATTTATCAAAATTTTTTCTGTCACCTATTTTCTAAATCAATTTTCAAGATTAATTTTTAGCGACTGCCGCTAATTAGTCATCATTACATTGTTTATTTCGATACTCGAAGCAGCAGAGTTAAACACTAGTAAACAACCGTTCAAATGTTCAGAAGAAAGTCTCAATAACCCGTCGCGGCATGCTTACAGCCAATGCTACTCATGAAATTTAATTTACTTGATAAACTAGTCCAGTCAGCACATTACTGTCACCACAGAGAAACGGTTCTTAAGGTCTATCGTTCACTCGTCACATACAAATAGTACATATCACAAAATAAAGATAATATTACATCAGATTGTACTACTGAAGTCAATTTTTTGACTTGTGGCATGAACACGTTTCTCGCGCAGCTCATAGCACGATCACTAGAAAGTTACGACGAGCTCTTATTATTTTTCAAAAAGTTTCTCATTTAAAATGGCAACGCAAATTTTTTTAGAGTCTTCCAACGATGACAAGAACGTTGATTTTGTCGTAGTGATAAATGTTATAAATTGGAGTTTTAAGTCAAAAATTTTTGCTCATCTTTCAAAACAAAATATGCTAATAAAGTCCTTAGCACGTACTCTCCCTTGTCCTAGAATAGTTTGCTGTTCGTTGTCTAATATATTATCAGCGATTTTTCTCTTCTCTTTTTTAGCAATTTAACTGTATTTCTCTTTTGATCAAATTGCCACAACATGTAATGAGCATAGCTCGATTTGTTGTTTTAATAAACCTAATTTAAACTAAAACAAAATTTCTTATTTTCTCTTCAGCCATTCCGCGTAACCAAATGTTTGTACGTTACTAATTTTGTCATTTTGTTGTATCTATAGAATTTAAATAAAACATCGTGAAAAGCTGGAAGATATCTTATTTTGTAGCTAAAAGTATGCTCATCAAAATTCATACAAAGCTCAATATTAAATAATGAGCTATCTTTCTGATACAATCAAATTTTTAATAGCTCCATTTCGCTGCAGATTGGGTTAGGGCTGTTGGAGAAACCACTATAACAGAAAGCGGATCATATACTTTTAAATGAGTTTCAATCAAGTTTTGAACAGCACACTCTTAGCCACAAAATCAGACATCTCTCCACTCGCCACGGTCTCCCAGTCAAATAAGATCAACAAAAAGAGCAAAAAGTAACGTACAGACATGTTACGCGGAATGACTGTCTTGTCTTTTTAATTTTCAGAGACTTGATTCGTCAAAAAATTTTCACTTACCGTTTTTTGAATATGAAGGCTTTTGGTCTGCTCATTAAGTATTTATATATACTTTTCCTCATCTTATGATAACTGTAGAATTTAATCATTTTCTCTCGCATATGCACTTCATTCTCTCTCTCTCCCTTATATACTAATTAAACTTGATATTGTGAAACAGGTATTTGTATGACCTCATTACCTGTTAGAAAAGGACTTTTCTTTTTCTATTTATTAATTAGGACGACGGTAACACAAATTATTTCATCAAAATTTCAATCTTGTTGTTGATTATTTTGATTTAGTTAAAAGTCAAAAGTATGCACAAAATATCTTTACACACATATTTTTAAGGATATTAATAATTAACAAATAAATAGAAGAAATACTTTTACTTACTCCTCTATCTCTTGTATCTTCCTTCATATTGATAGAAGATATGTAAATTGATAATTTTTTTCGTCTGGAAAATTAAGCGTACAATGGTATGTTTATTGTTCAATAATGAATGTATAATATGTCATGAACAAATAGCGAAATTTTCATTTATAATTATTATAATGCGGAAAGAAGTATGTTGATTAAAAAACCTCAAAATTAAAGTAGACGTCATTTTCTAATTATTGT